TCTCACATCCCTTCAGCATCCTGTTCTGTATCCGTTTCTGTCCTGCTCCCCATCTCCCCGCCCGCCCGCCCACCTGCTGTATTTAAATGCAGACATTGGAGGAAAAAGTCTTGATTTTCATGTATTTCTCTCTCTTCTTATTCCGGGAAGGAAGGGTGTAAGGTAGTTTGCAAGAATCCCTTCAGGATGTCACACACCTGAGGGGAGTTTGTGATGGAGGGAGGGGAGGGGGGGAGGATGGAGCCCTGGTGACCCCACACAGCAAGGTCCCTCCCTGCCCCCCCTCCGCCCCCGCCTGCCCCAGGGGACTCCTGACCTGTGGGTGGAACTTGCAGGCAGGTGCCCAGCGCCCTCCAGCCAGGGACTGTGGCCCTCAGTCCCTCCTCCTTCCCCCCCACGAGCCTGGCTCAGAGGGAGCTGGACTCCATTTCACTGCCTCTCCCCACCCCCACCCCATATGCCTGCCCTCCTGCTCTTTGGAAAGAAAAAAAAAGCCATCGATTTGTTGGCGAATGGGCTGAGGTTTTTGCGAAACCAGAGCGAATGACAGCATTTGTTTGTGTTTAAATGCTGCCCAGTAATGTTCCCCGAGGCGCTGGGAAGGAGACTTTTAAGAGTGGAGCCAGCGTCGCACTTGCTGCTGGAGCCTCGTCCACGAGAGCGACACCCAGGCACCCGGCGGGACTGGGGACACGTGGGGGGCTTTCCCCTGTCGGGTGCCCTGAGCGAGCAGGGGCTGCCCTCTCAGCAGGCATGGCGCTCCCACGTGGTCCCGAGCTGAAGGGCGCCCTGGACACGGCTTTCCCACGGGGTTTCTGTAACGGGGACCTGAGGCCTGGTCCCCTGAGCTGAGGCTCAGCTCACGGAAGTGACAGGCAGGAGTGAGGGGGCTGTGCTCACCAGTTCGTACAGGAGACGGCGGGGTGGCCGGTTCAGGGCTTGCCGTGCATTTCATTCGGTTTATCCGGTTTATCGTGGGGAATAGTAAGTGGTGTGACTGCGCGGTGCAGCTGCGTGAGGAGGTGTGCGGGGCGCACGCTGACATCCCTCC